CAAACTGGAAAATCAGAAGAAAGTGGAGATGCCAAGAGGCTCCCCAGAGAAAGAGCTGACCCAGCTGAGGGTGTGCATGGGGGATTTTGGCATGGGAGAGAAGGGATAGCTGGAACAGATGTCATTAGAGGGATTATTAAAAGGAGAGACAGGAAAAGAGGAATGGAAGCAATTTTGTTGTATATTGTGAATGCACTCCCCTTTGGCATTTACTGTAGAAATTTATTGATTTGATTGTCTTGAATGATTTCTGAATTGATGGACCGTTCTTTCATTCAATGGAAATTTGTGCTGTTATGAGACCAACAGAAGTGCTTTCTATGGGCTACTTTATATAAGGCTTTAAAAGTCTTTACTAATCTATACATTTTCCAGTCTACATAAGTAATCCTGCAAGTAAGATAGGACAAAAATTATTTTTATTTACCAAAATTGCAAATTGAGACTTATGGAAATCAGAGTGATCTTCCTAAGATAACAGTGGAGACTCAAAGCTGGGTCAGCTAGTATTCTTTTCATTACTCTATGGTGCTTTTCTGAGACGAAAATCACTTGGATGTACACAAATGCTACCAAATCTTCTTTCCTTCCTCCTCCTCTTCCAAGGAAAGAGAATTAAAAGAACTCTATAGCTCCTTGGAAACTTTATGGGGCAGTTCTACTCTGTCCTATAGGATCGCTAAGAGTCAGAATAGACTCAACGGCAACAAGTTTGGTTTGGTTTATAGCAGGTCTTGTGATGATGGAAATGTTCTATCTGTATTGTCCAATATGGTAGCCACTAGCCACGTGCAGCTATTACACTTGAATTGTGGCTAGTGTGACTGAGGAACTAAATTTTAAATTTTATTTAATTTTCATTACTCACGAGTGGCTAGTGACTATTATGTTGGACAGCACAACTCTAGAAGTCACATGTGAGAGACTGTCAAATGTCCTAGGCATCTCAAACTAAAATAACCATTGGGGGTAAATTGCCACTTTATCGTTAGCTTTCTGTTAGTAAATCCTGAATTTCATAAACAAACCAACATTGTGGTTAGTGCTAAACAGTTGGCTTAAGATGTTTTTCTTGACTCTTAGTACCTTTACTTAATCACTGAATATTATTTTTACAAGTGGTTAAGCTTTAAACAGTTAACTTCCTCTGTTATCAATTATCTGATTTTGCTAGAATTTTGTGCGTGTGCCTTTGTACTTTTAACTTTTTATTATTATTCTCTCTCTACTATGATTACTGTGCCTGTGCAATCATAGTATATTAAGTGGTATGCACACACACCCTCTCTAATACATAATACATGTAAAGTCTAAAGCATCAATGTCCATTCTGAATTTCCAGAAACTGTGTATGTTTGCTCTTCCTTTGCAGTAAATGGGCACCAAGAACAAGCCAGCAATATAAAATAGAACAAAAGTTTCATGAAAAAAAGGGATTCAGCCAATATTTTCCTTTATCACTAAAGGATTCATATACAACAGACACTTCTCACCACTTATAACTCCTAGTTTGTAAGGAGGTTTCCCCAAACTTTAGCAGCCCTTTTACTTCCAAAATATCTCCTCTATTACTTTGTGCTCTAGCTCACAGAGCAATTCAGAAGGTTTATATTTTCCCCCAGAACTGTCAATTCTTTTCAGTCTAAAATGGAAGATAAAGGTATAAGGATTACTAACAAGAATTGTGTAAGGAGTCAGATATATGTGTAGGACTTATATAACTGTCAGTCAACTGCTATTGGAGGCTGCACCACCACAAAAGCTAGTGAAAGAAGCATCATCTTATCCTACAAGGAAGTCATTTATGTGTCCCTTATGTATTTGTAGAATACCAGTTGCACCAGTTATATTGGCAAGTCATTTGATTATTGCTATCTGACCAAACCTACTCCCCAAGGAATAAGTTGTGATATTTCATATAAATTGTAGTTACAGCAGAAAGATTGTCATCACATCCTTCAATCACCTTGCTTTTCAATTTTTTTCCCAATTATTAACCAAGTTAGGAGAAAGTTACCACCCTCATCTGATACTTAAAAATGTAAAGCAAAATATATGTGTCAGAAAACAGCACTCATTTACTTCAGACAATTCTGAAGTTAAAATCTGATATCATGTTGGTGGACTGATGCCATTTAATATAGACATTGTGTTAAGATGCTGAGCTGTTACAAAAGTGCTGCTTACAAGACATCTCTGCTCCTTTATACCTGAATCTGCAAATGTTGAACACAAGAATCAACAGCTTCTTGGCACAGAATATGAAAGTTTCATAGGTCAGGATGTTGATGAAATTATACACACAGTTCTTGAATTTAAACTTTAGGAGCTCAGTGTATTCGATCCTTTAGGGATGCCTTTTCTTTTTTTCATTCATGGGAAATTTTTAAAATTTGGATTGTGATTACAGGACAAATAACAGATCCATCTAAGGAACTTTTTGCTTCTGCTTTACCTAACCAGGGAGGGAAGGGGTTCATATGAATGAAAGAGTAGGTCAAATAGGCAGAGGAATCATCAGCCCTGCAACTAATTGAACCACTTTTGCTAAATGACATAAAAATATTCTAATATTAAGGATTATTTTACAACTCTATGGAAATATGCAGTAATGCATCTTGCATTTGTTTTGTCTTGGCGACAAAATGCACTCTTAGAGTCACAAGAGCCTGCCTTGTGTTAGTTATAAACAAAAATATATTTATATATATATTTATGTCACTACTATGTGCTTTAAAGAAAAGTACTGTATGATTCAACAGGGTTTTGAAACACTGTCATTCATTTTTTATCACCAGGGATGTGTGCTGGACTTGAATGGCTTCTTAGACAGAAATCGACAATGAAATGGGCCGTTAGTACTGAAAAAGCAAAAACTTAAAAATTCATATGTTTAATATCCCTTAACATTGTTGCTTTAAAAATGATTAAGGAACTCTTTGTATTGTTTCCTTCAGCCAAGAGCAACTGTGGACTTTGCTTGACTTCACAGTTGGGAAAATGGAGGCAAAGCTTCTTAAAACAAGTCATGTGTTCTAATCTGAAGCAGGAAAATTGAAAGCCTCACTTGCCATTCCCTCTTTTCTAACAGAGGTAAAGGTTTGGAAATTCTGTCACAGCCATGGAAGGGTATTCACTACCAAAAAAGAGGGAGGCACAGTTTGAACCTCTTGTACAGATAAAAGATGTGTCTTGTAAGTAATGAACTTCTTGGAACAGATGGATCTAGACCAGATAAACAAAATCCTTTTACCACATACCTGTTTTGAAAAGATAGAAAATATCCTATTTTGTGTTTGTTTTTGCTCTGGCATGAACTAATTTTCTCAGCAATCTTGAAACTTTTTTTTTGAGTGAAAGGGTTAAAGCTTTGAAACAGTTATCTTTGAGACATCAGAGAAGAACATTTGAACCAAAGTTATAGATCCCTTGAGAACTAAAGCTTTATTATTATTACTATTTTCTCCATCCCTATGCACCCTGCATCTAAGCCAACAGCACTGTAACCTTGTCATACTTCTGGTAAGTCCATAAGAGATGTTCTGAGTGAACTATAGATGTCATTCCACTAGGGAATTCTATGTTCAGTGGTAATATGGTATCTTGTGTAAGTTTGAGTTTTCTTTCTTTCACCCTTCCTGGGCTGGGCTTGTCCAGAAATCTTGTCTCCTTCAGGCTACAGCAGCCTAGGGCTCCTTTGTATGTATGTGTTTTTTTGTTTGTCTTAAAGGTATAAGCAAAATTTTAGTCTTAACACCTGTAGGCCAGTACTGGTGCTGCTCTGTTCTAGAAATTTTAGCACTGCTCTGATACAATAAAACCTTCTTTCTCTCCAACTGGTTCTACTTCAGCATATGCAGGATGTCCAGAACCTCTTCGAAACTTCATTGCAGGCCATCTGCTTGGGCGTCTCTGAAACAGAAATGCAAAAACGAGCATCAGGATGAGGATCATATCATAATAAAAAATATTTAACAACTATTTTAGATGAACTTTTGAATTAAATTTAGTACACATATGAAACTATCTCTTATTATTGCTACAGTTGGAAATAAGTGCTCCCCTCTATACACCCTGAAAGCCCTATGCTTATGTCTCTGCTATGGCACTATCAATGTCTGCCAGATTGTCTCTTAGCCACCACTGCCCCACAGCATTGAGAGCTTCTCAAAGGCAAAGTTTATACCTTAGGTATCTTTAAGTCTAAGATATTCTAAAATGCCCAAAATGTAAGCAAAAATGAACTGTAATAAAAAACAAGTCTTCTTAATATATAACCACTGCCACTTCCTCTTCTGTAGAAGTCAATAATGATAGTACTTCATTTTATTTATTAATTCACTCACAACATAAGATCACACAATTCTACACAGTTCCTAGAAGTGTGCTTCAATTTGCTAGACTTCCTAGAAAGAAAACTAAAATATCACTTAATATCTCAAGATATTTACTTACTAACCTAAAAATATCCATGCATGCATTTTTGTGCTTGACAATTAACAGATGCCATATCCTGAAAACTGCATCCCTCATCAGAGGGTGTCAACAATCTTGAGTTTATATAGTAAATATTGCGCATACAGACAGTAGTCCTAAAATACCGGCTATTTGTATTGACAAAAGTAGAGTATTTCTCTACAGCACTACTGCCACCAAAGTAACCTTCTGTGATTCACAAATAGAAGTGCTGAAATGAATTATTAAGTTGTAGCAGCAGAAGACACGAAAATGCATTTCACCACCACAGTGACACTAGAAACTATTACTCCATTTATCAAAGTGCCCGAAATTTTGGGGTAAATAAGACAATAAATATTGAAGGAAGTTTATTTCTATCTAAGAATTTTAATGTGAAAAAAGGTTAAATATCAAGTGCAGATATACTGGCACTTGGCGACTTTTTTTAGATTTGCCAATTACATGCCACTGTCAATGATTAATGGTTGTGGAAAAAGTTTTCACACCAGCTAGGAATGAGTATTATTAGCTCTACATTCTGGAAAAAAAATCACAATAATTATATTCTGCCTACTAACTACATTAAATGCTGTCTATAACATTATGTGGTCAGAATGCTTTAAATTTATTAGCTGATTAAGTCCCATTTTCCAAAATAAGTTAAAACTAAACCCACTGCTGTCAAGTTGATTTCAACTCACAGAGACACTATAGGACGGAGTAGAACTGCCCCCATAGGCTTTCTGAGGCCGTTAGCTGGAATCAGCTCGATGGCAGTAGGTTTTGAGTTTAATTATTAAGGAAGGCAACTGCCACATCTTTCTCCCATAGAGCGGCTGGTAGGTTCGAACCACCAACCTTTCAGTTAGCAGCCCAGCACTTTAACAACTGCACCACCAGGGCTCCATAAGTTAAAACTAAGAGGGCTAAATAATGAAACAGTGTGTCAGTGTTGGGATAGAAAGTCACCATCAATGAAAATATACTTACTAAGCACCTCTAGGCAGGTGGACCCTGCCACTCATGGTCAGTCCTGTTTGTGAGAAAAGGCCAATATGCCTTAGAGCTCACTGTTCATGACCCCCATTCTGTGGTGTCAGTGACTTCACAACTGCGCTTCTCTGAAGCCATGACTGCCTAAGTCCTTTCTCTGAGTCAAGTGGCATGACGAAGTCTCTGCTCTGCAGTTGCACCCTTCAGAGGCCCACCTGGCCATGGGTCCTGCTGGCAGGTGCAGCCCTGTGAACTAGCCCTCATTTATAGGCTCAGCACATAAAGGCCTTCAGCTTCAGGTGCCTCGTCATTAAAAAGAAGTCCAGATGATAATGATGTTGATGATGATGCTTGTGAAAGTTACATTTGAGCTATATTTCATGCTCTTAACTATATTTCATGCTTTGTACTAAGTGGTTTACATACATCATCTTGTTTTATATAAACAACTCAATCATTTACACTTACAAACCTGTAAAGCTAGCAAATGGCAGGGTCAAGATTTAAAATGAGCTCTATGTACCTCCAAAGTTAATTAACCTCCTTTTCCTATACTGTCTCAAATTTGTCATTGTAAAGACTCTACAGATACAGAAATTAGTTCTTAAAATTCAGTGATTTGTGTAAATTCTGGCATGCTTAACATATTTTAGAACTTATCCAAAATTTGTGAACATGGTTGCATTTTTTATATCAGCCTTAAAAATATAACATTACTATCAATTTCAGTATTTTGTCAGAAAGTCAGAATACTAAGTCAATAATTCTCCATCTTAGGTGAAAAGATTTCAAGATTATTGATAAGGCTGATCATGTACTTTGAGAGCTCATCCAAGAGACCCTCAAAAAGTGAGCACAAAAATGCTGGACAAACAGGACAATGAAGCTTTCTCTGTTAACACAGTACAAACTTACCTTAAGAATTGTTTATATATTCTTAAACATAATTTCTCTCTTTTTTTAATTACTCATTGTAGAAAAAAATACAGAACTACATCAACAAGATAAGAAATCCCACCACACATACATGATTTGGTTTAAACTATGAGTGTATATCTTTCATATACGTTTCTACAAACATTAACTCATTGCCCATACAGTTTTCTGAACTCCTTCTCCCCCCCCACATAACTACGTACTGTGAAAAAAAAAATTACTACATCCTATGAAAAACAATAACTAAATATTCCTCTGCAACATTACTTTAAATGTCTGTAGAGTATACTATTTATGGCTAAATCATGATTTATATAATCAATTTGATATTTTTTGATAATATAAATAACATTACAATGAATATCTTTGCTGCTAACCTGATGGGTCTATATCTGATTAGTTCCCTTTATAAACTCTCAGAATTAGAATTATTGGGCCAAACAGACTGTATCAGTTATTTACTAAGTACCTGAAATACTCGAGATAGTTGGTGCTAGATGTTGTGTTGAAGGGTATGTGACCAACGAAAAGTATACAACTTGGCTTCTGGTTCATATGAGAGATAAAAATCATTTCAGAGGGAAGAGATTTTCAAAGCAGGGTGAAAAGGTAAGGAAAATACATTATAGGAAAGTTGATTTTGTTGTTATTAGTTGCCGTCGAAACAGCTCTGACTCACGGCAAACCCCATGTACAACAGAACAAAATGTTGCCCACTCCTATACCATCTTCACCACCTTTGTATGCTCAAGCACATTGTTGTGGCCACTGTGTATTTTGAGTGTCTTCAAACGTAGGGGGCTTATCTTCCAGCACTATATCAGACAATTTTCTGTTGTGATACATAGGGTTTTCACTGGTTAATTTCCGGAAGTAGGTTATCAGGCTTTTCTTCCTAGTCTGTCTTTGTCTGGAAGCTCTGCTGAAACCTATCAATCATGGGTATTTGAAATACTGGCGGTATAGCTTCCAGCATCACAGCAACAAGCAAGCCACCGGACAGATGGTGGAGGAAGATTGAAGACAGATATTAAATAAGCATTAATAAAGATCCACAAAATACAACAAGTATAATCCAGCTACAAAGTATTCAAAACTGCTATTTTATTTGTGCAAAATGGAAAATTTATACGTACTTCTACAGTTTTTCTTAAAATTGGGCTTTAGATGAAGGTTTACAGACCAAATCAATTTCTTATTAAACAATTAATACACATATTGTTTTCTGACATTGGTTGCCAACTCCCCAACCTGTCAACACTCTCCCTTTCTCGACCTTGGGTTCCCCATTTCCAGTCGTCCAGCTTTCCTGTCCCATCCTGCCTTCTCATCTTTGCCCTTGGGTTGGTGTGCCCATTTAATCTCGTATACATGGTTAAGCTACGTGTATTTCTGTTTGTTTTATGGGCCTGTCTAATCTTTGGCTAACGGGTGAACCTCTGGAGTGACTTCAGTACTGAGTTAAAAGGGTGTTTGGGGGCCATACTCTCGGGGTTTCTCCAGTCTCTTATTTCTAAAGTTTTTGACTAGATTAAAAGAAAAGACATTTTACACAGTAATATCTTAACATTTATGCTGAAACCTAACAAATGTCATACAACTGGGGTTTTAAAATTTGTTTTTACTTCACATTCTTTTACAATTCCTTTATATCTCACTCTTAGCCCTAAACATGCAGAACAAAGAGTAAACAACCTTCCCAAAATTCTGCTTTCTTTTTAGAATGCCTTCACAAGGAAATAAGCACTGCAGGACTATATCACAGAATAATCATATAAGCATGAATAAATCACTTAATTTCCCTGGGCTTCAGTTTTCTTATCTGTAAAATGATATCAGAGGCTTTGTTCTCTAAAATTCTAGAGTACTTATACCTGTGTGCCTGAGATAATTGACTCTGAAGTCATAAAGAAAATATTTAAAAAAAAAAATCCCACCATGTTGTGGATCTTCTGATGATTGTCCCTGCTGCTTCCCTTCATTAACTTTTGTTGTTGTTAGCTGCCACTGAGTTGACACCAGCTCACAGCAACCCCATGTACACAACAGAATGTTGCCTGGTCCTGGTCCCGGTCCATTCTTCACGATTGTCGGTATGCTTGAATCCACTGTTGTGGCCACTGCATATTTTGAGTATCTTCCTACCTAGGGGGCTCATCTTACAGCACTATATTGGACTATATATATATATATATAATTTTTTTTTGTAATCTTGGCAGTATATTGGACAATATTCTGTTGTGATCCATAGGGTTTTCTTTGGCTAATTTTTGGAAATGGATCGTCAGAACTTCTTCCTAGTCTGTCTTAGTCTGGAAGCTTTGCTGAAACCTATCTACCATGGGTGATCATGCTGGTATTTGAAATAAATGTATCATAGCTTCCAGCATCATAGCAACCCACAAACCACCAAAGTATGACAAACTGACAGAGGGGTGGTGGCTATTAACTTTTAGAATCCCTAAATTTAAGGGAAACCAGTATAAATTAGTCCTAACTGAAACCACTTTTCTATGTCAATCTGC